TACACTTGGCTAACATAGACAGTCCCCGAACTCGTAATAGAACTGAAACAAGGAAAATCGGAATAAAATTATGGCCTAACCCTAACCTGGTTCACACACAACAGCAGTGCTGTTCACCCGGGGTGGAGTAAATTGAACAGACAATATACAACTGCTAAAACTAGATTTCTCCAAAATATTAAAACATTTTGATTACTCAATTAGAATAGTGAATGTTTTTCTTAACCCTGTTTGCGGTAAGTGAAGTGTTTATTGATGCAACGTTGTTATCAAGCGAAAAGAGATTGCAGGTTTCCCTTGTCTGTGAAAAGCCGAGTGTCCAATGGAAGTGTCTTTTTTGCTCAGTTGCAGATAATATAAAAAATTGTTGGCGCTTTCGTAGTATTTGTACCAATATGGTGCACAACCTGCTAACCCTAACCTGGTACACATACTATGTTCAGGTTGTGCGCCATCCTGGTACAAATACTACGGAAGCACCAATTTCTTAACCTGTATTCTCTGGCGCGCAATGCTCTGTCTACAGTATTTTTGGCAGTATAGCGATTATTCGTGTTTGCTCGATGAGTCTTGACCCTGCTTTGAGCAAATGTTTTGAGAAAAAAAAATGCTTTTCATATCTGAAAGCTCCAATATGGTTTCAGTAGCTTTCGATGTTTCAGCAGCCGCATGTGACTTTGCTTGAAGTTGTGTATTCTTTTACTTGCAACCCTATACTCACCTTTATTCTATTTATCATGTTCTGATAAACTTATTAGATTTCTCAAAAGTGCTGCCGCTCGTGTTGGTTTTCGGCGTTTCCTTTCACCCTGAAAGGCTATTTTTTTATATTTTCTTCAATTTGTGTATGTATAGTTTGTGTTTTCAGCATGGTAAAGAAATAAATTACTGATTACTGAAGTAATCAGCATTCGGTGATATGTTCTGTGTTCAGTGACATATATAAATTCGTTATAGAATAATTACTAAGATTGTATTTTCATATTTATTCTGGGGGAAAAAAGCGATAACTCAGGTTAATGATAGAGATGTATCGGTATCGACAATATCGGCCAATTTATCGGTATCGGTAGTGTATCGGTATCGGCTAGATTTAGACCGATATTTCCGATATATTTAGCTTCTCAGTATGATCAAGAATGTTTTGAAAATTAGGTTAGAATACAGATCTTGAAATTATTTTTTCTCGGATAGATCGTGAACTATGAGCCATGCACGTCCCCACACCCGCTAAAGAAATTTTTAATATTACATGGTAATTATGGAAAAATATATCAATCGAATATTAGTGAATGTTCCGGTATGTAAAATATAAAATACGACGCTATACTGGCCCAAAATCCTGCGCACGTAACTCAATGTATCAGTTTCATACGATAAGTAGGCGAAACATTTATTTATTTTACCACCAACAGCAGCTAAATCCTACTAGTTTTCTAATAAAGCACCGAGATTACTAGCCCCAGTGCTCAATGCATCTGAATCAATTAACGCATTTGGATCCCAAACATCTACTTCCTAATAAATATATATGTGTGTGATATTTCTTTTTTTTATACGGAAATAATGTGCACTATTAATATTACCCAAAGACTATTGTTTTAAACCGTCTGTCCTGCACACTTGAGGGAATAATTACATAGTATCGGTATCGGTCTTTATAGCTGGTATCGGATCGGTATCGGCGACAAAAGTGGTATCGGTACATCTCTAGTTAATGATATGGTGAACCACGGCTTATCGTGTGATTACCAACTCATATATTATATAGGAATTGTTAGGCAGTCATTCGTTTCAGATGCGCGGAATATAACAAAATTACGGTAAAGAAATAGGCCGTGTATGATGATTTCGCTATATTGAAACCGTTGCTTCCGTAGTATTCGTACCAAGATGGCGCACAACCTGAACATAGTATGTGTACCAGGCTAGGGTTAGTGCGCCATCTTGGTGCGAATACCACGGGAGCGCCTTGATACCCATTTGCCCAGCTTCCATCGTTCCCCAAATCTGAGTTGATTCAACTTGGGATCGTCTGAACAGGCGTGTAGCTAGGAATGTTCTAGCTAGGGGCTAGGGGGAGGGGGTTCCGAAATTTCTAATTGCCAAGTAAGACCATAACAGATTGCCGGTCTGGCCAAAGACGTGGGTTCTCAAGAGCTTTGCGGGTCTAAACTATGGTTGCCAAACCGTCCGGAAAATTCTGGACATGTCCGGAATTTAGGGTTAAATTTTGCGTCCGGGAAGAATTTAAAAAATGCTCAAATGTCCGGAATTTTACTGCATCTGCAATCGTACTGTGCACACTGCTAATGAACATTGTTAATTCGTACCGTGCGCATATTTTTTACTACGAGGTCATGAAAATAGTCATGCACTATCCGGAATTTTGCTTTTTCAAATATGGTGACCCTAGTAAACAGCGTTTTGAGCCACGGAAAATTGCTATGTATGACACTTAAAAGCTTTCGCCACCTGGGTACGCTCGTGCCTTGTGTGTCTGAAGAAATCCACGCATAAAAAAATTTACAACGCGAAAGCGATGCTGTTGTATGCAGACATTGTAAAAACTACATTCAGTCACACCTGATCAGACATGATCACGTGACATCCAAACCGCCGAATACTGATGGAAACATTAAATATTTATCTGTCTAAATCCGATCTGAGAACGCTGGTAAATTAGGTTACCGTAAGTGAACTGAAGACCTTTTGATAAAGAATGAGAAAAATGGGCAGGATTTTCATATGACGTTTCGTTGGACTAAAATACTAAATTCTGGTATCACAATAATCGTGCAAAAGGGAACGACAGAGCAATCAGAGTCCGAATACAACCTTAGGGTAAGGGTTCGCGAGTGTATTCGTTTTGTAGAAGAGACTACCGAACTAACATTTTTTCAATTTTGCTAAAGACGATTGATATAATTAAAAGAACAAGTCTTAAACGTTGTAACTGTATTGCCAATGAACTCGGTACCTAGTGGAAGCTAGCAATAGACAAGGAGAAACGGGGAATTTTCTTCTAAAGTGGAAAAGTAAAATTAGTTTTGCGACTGGTATTGTGGCCCCCGTGAACCGCTGCCGTAACCGATCAGCAATTCCGTGAACCATGGCGATACGTAGCGTGGCCCCCATTAAACCCTTTGTGACCTTCAGGTGGGGGCTCATTGGGGAAAATTCTGCTTCAGTTTGCCTTCGATGAAACGTAATCTAGCTCACGTCGCTTAGAGCTTGTTGTTTACCAGTCTTTCACGCTTCCGTTGGGCCCGCCTGTCATAGCTTGCCAGACCTCCTTGAGAAGTATCTAAATTCTAAGATATTAAATATGGATGGATAACATTTTTAATGGTTATTCCCTCTATATTGAAAGCAATGGCCCAGGGGTCAGCGCAACTGTTATCTCCTTATTCGAAGAGTAGTTATTATTATATTCGTCTTACAATGCATTGTAGATCTTTATCTACAAAAAGATTTTGCTAACATTATGGTCGGCTTTTGTTGACAGTTATGCTGTTAGCAAGCGAAACGGAATTTTTGGCTAGACTTGAGGAAAATCAGCAATATATGTGTTGGGAATATATTTTCTTTCACTGAGTGTGTGTATATTATGAAAGTATAGGGCGCCTTTCACAATTTTAGTCTTTTGCGCGGGGCAGTTTGAGACCAAGTGTAAACGTGCATATCCCAATAGCGTTAGTAGGCCGTAGTGTACACACACACTACGTTCCACTGTCCGCCATCTTGGTTCACATATATCGGGTGTACCATGACAAGTCCGGTCTTCGAATACAGAGTAAAACCGACATATCAATGGACTGTTCTACATGGTTCTTCTTCAGCAAAATTACCTTAAAATGGCAGTAATTTTACATGTTTTTGCTGAAGAAAATTCTAACTTTCGACAAACAAGAAAAAGTAATGACAAGTTTCAAATCAGTTACCCCGTAAATGCGTTTTCTATCGATTTTTTGCAAATAGAGTTTACACATGTTTGCTCAAAACAAAATACCGAATTCTCAACTTATAATGGAACAGTGCGGATACAACAGTCACAACTCAAGCTTGCTTCTTGCGACCAATGAATCGAGAGAGAGAGAGTTAATTATTTCGTCAACCAGAAAACACATATTATAAAAAATAATAACAACAGAATAAGTGAATCAAAAGTTTTCGATATGGCTGGGAGGTAACTTTAGGACCAGTTACCACCAAACAAAACGAACCCTATAGAGACAAATTTCAAAGCAATTACATCTCCATGTATTTTGAATCAAAAGTTTTCGATATGGCTGGGAGGTAACTTTAGGACTAGTTACCACCAAACAAAACGAATCCTATAGAGACAAATTTCAAAGCAATTACATCTCCATGTATTTTGTCTGTAGAAAAAACGTGGCGGCGTCTCCATAATCATCTATCAATCTGCGGTTCATGATACAATGCATTGCGTGTACTTTGCGATTTTTTTTTAAACTCAGTACAGCCTTGTTCGGAGCGAAATGATAGAAAATAGCATTTATAGGGTATGGGAATTTATGTACTTTGAAATTCTTTTTAAAACATAGTAAACTATACACATAAAAGACTGCTTTACAACAGACTCCTTCATAGTAGATGAGCAAAAGTTTTTCTAAGCATATTTTATACCTTGTTTTTACAGATTATATATACAATGCACTTTATATAAATAAATTAAAAGTTATATTTTTGTTAGAGTTAAATGGGGAACAGTACCTCATACATATATACGTCGGATGATACGTCGTCAACTGCTTCTACGTCATCAACGTTTGAAATTATAAGCATAATTTATACCGTGTTTTTACAGATTATATCTACAATGCACTTAATATAAATAGATTAAAAATTATATTTTTGTCAAATTAAATGGGGAACAGTACGTCATACATAACTACGTCAGATGATACGTCATCAACTGCTTCTACGTCATAAACGTTTAAAATGATATTCATATTTTATACCTTGTTTTCACAGAATAACTACCATGCACTTATTATAAATAAATCGTAACTTATCATAATTTCGCCAATTCAAATGGGGAACAGTACGTCATACATAACTACGTCAGATGATACGTCAACGACTGCTTCTACGTCATCAACTTTTGAAATGATGCGTCAACTTAGTTACGAAAGTGACGTTTTTTATCCAGATCCTACACTACAACACGGAATGAACTTTGAAAAACCAAGAGTTCCGGATTTGACTCCGGAGCATTTCCCAACGTGGAGAGTCAATGAAATGAACCCGGTATTATTAAAGGTGAGCTGTGACTAGTATTGGGTATTTGTTGAGTATTATTGGGTCATTTTTTGATTATATTATTTTAAACTGCTTCTCGCGTCAGCAGATTTGGATCATGCTGTAGGTAAGGGTAAGAAAGGTATAATCAATCACTTTTTTGAGTGGACCAGTTACACGTAATAGGATTGGTTACTGGGCCGGAGGCTCAAAATTAATATGAATAACTATGAATGGGAAACAGTTTATTTACAAAAGCTAGTCCTCCGTCTAGCCTAGGCTAACGTTTATATAATAATACGAAGCACAATGTAACAATCGGGGACATTATGACGTGATTTTATCGATATTTCGAACGGAAATTTATATTCAGAAAAACTATAGTCGTAATTTCAACAGGCACAAATGGGCCGGAATCGGCCCATCGGCCGTAATTCGCTCACCTGTGGAATAATGACCTGAACGCCCTCAAGTCTCGCTTGGTACAGGCGTATATTGTATCACAGTAATCTTATATTGTTTCAGTAGCGCTTGACAATTCAGTGTTTACCGGTAACTTTGTTCGGAGAAGAATCTTTTTTACTTCAGATTGAGTGTATGTGACAGTCTTATTGAGGGAGAGGGCCCCGAGACCCACACAAAATTTTCAACATTTTTTTCACGTGAATTTTGCTACCTAAATTTCAACGCCTTTTCCACCATCATTATACTCTAATCTTTAACGATTTACTATAAAACCGGACGATGCTACCAATAATTCTCCCACCAAATGAACCAACCGATATATATGAAAATGCGCGCTTGTAATCTGTGTATAATTCAACAGCGAAGTACGTCTGTAAAGCAATTCTTTGGGATATTGTTAGATATTAGTGGCTGCCTCCATTTGGCCTTGCTCGAAACAAGAGACACGAGTAAGCGTCGTATTACGTCATTATACAAAAAATCCCCCCCCCCCCCCATCCTCAATTTTGGCCTAGCAACGCTCTTGTAGGAGAGGATATTGCCACATTGGTGGAGAAGATTGTTGCGATTACACAGCACTGGTACAATATATCATTTTTGGACACGTAGTGCACATAACGATCGTTTCAATATTATGTTGTTGTTGTTGTTCTTCGACACTTTTTGGACACCTAGTGGAAAATCTAAAATGTCGCTTTTCTCTTTGATTACTGGACCGATTGCTCTGAAATTTTCAGTGGTTACAGATTTTCTCCATAAGGCTATTACTTTTATTCATTTTGAATATTTCTGTTAGTTCTGTGAGATTTGTTTTTGTTTGCTATGACGTCATTTAACGTTCTGCGGAAATCGGACGCCATTTTGTGTCCTACTGTAGTGCTTCGCTTGGTGTGAATATATTTGTAGACTGTGATCTGACGGTACGGTAAACCGTACTGTACTGCGAACAGACGTGTCCATATATTTGGGCGTAGCTCTCTTATAATAATACTAAATTACAATCTCTTTTCCAGTACATGAAACGATCATATCGGCCTTGTCCAGCAACATTCAAAGCATCGGCAAAAAAATTGGCGGAAATCTCTGCTGCTCAGAAAATTCCGAAGTTTGTAAACACAATGGGAGGATCGCAATGTGCTAAGTTACATTGGGCTTGCTTAGCTGGCTGGTGTATGTGTGAGTGTATTATTGACTTAAATATCGCAATTGTTACTCTTGTTTGTTTTTGGTGATGTTCAGAAAAATTGATTTTCTCAGCAACTAATATAAATAAACTGTTAGCACGTTTAAAAACCATCATTTTGATTCAAAACATTCGGCAATTTATCGTACAAAAGTTCAGCCAAGATTATCACAGCTATTTCTAGATTAGTTTTTGCCTACCGCAATTAAACTAAAAAGACATACTTAAATTTCCGAAACACACCAGAAAACCAACAAATAGCATGTAAAAACGCAATAACGAGGTTATGTTCACAACCGTGCCTGAAAATCTATTTGAGTGACAAAGGTGTCTGAGCTGCTGCTGAAACCTTTTTGATGGTCGCGCGAACTTGTTCTAAGCGCAAATTTTCAAATTAACTAATTTGTTAAATTTGAGTTGGGTTGCGCGAGACTAACTTCCTATCTTTTCTCTATGCCCTTATGCTAGTGGATCCGTATGCGTATACTGCAAGGATACTGTATCTGGAATAAACATGACTATTCTATCCAATTAAAGAGTTCAGCAATTTATTTCTTGCCATTATTGTAAACTGCTTGTCTGAGGAAGTCTGACTCTGGTCGGACGAAACGTTACAGAAATACATTTGTGTTAGTGTGCAGCTGGACTCTTTACTCTGAATAGAATAACTAATTTGTCATCGCCTTCTATTCAATAATAACGCGAATCACAAAAAAAAATAAGGAAATGAATTCTTCTTGAGATTGTGGGCGCGATGGCCTATCTAGTGGCGTGGCGTTAGTCTTAAACTTATTTATATTGGTATCACGCTAGCGCAGAGCGTAGCCATCCCAATTTGTTGTTGTTGGGGGGGGGGGGGTAATATAACTATAACTTAACACATTATAACTTGAATTAACAATTTTTCACGGAATCTTTTTTTTCTTTTTTCAGGCAAATACCAATACCAGCCATTGACGCCTTTACACTTACTGCCACACACGAGACTCACTTCAAGTAAGGTAATTCCGAGCCAGTCACGTCTTCCAGGAAATTCACGAAACAGTGTTGATATGTCTCCTGCTGTTTCAAGTAATGACGTCACGATTGATGATGACGTCGGGGAACTTTATGATGACGCAATAAAGACTTTTGACAATGATGATTATAACGTCACTGATAATGATAATATTATACAAATTATGAGCAAAGAATCGACGGTTTAGTTCCCGTCAGAAAGTTTCGGATATCCTTCACTATAATGAGCTAACTTATGGTACTCTATAAAGAGGTGTCCAACACTCTCGCTCAGTACAAGTTACCACATATATTTAGGAAGTTACTGTATTTTGAAAGAACAGAAAGGGCTGCATACTCACGTGAACACTGGATATGTCCAACGTTCATTGCCAACATAGACAGATAAGAAGAACCGGAGATCTTTCTGGTTTGGCTTACCCCATCCAATTTATCACAAGCTGCTTGGCATGGGCTTTGACTCGAACTCTCAAAGTAATTATATAGTCTATTACAGTGGTTCCCAAACTTTTTAGGCCACGTCCCCTTTTTGAATTTGTCGTCAAGTCTCGCGGCTCACCTCAAAAATAACTAGCTAACAATAAGCTACAAATGACAGATAGTAAAGCGAAAGTATGTTTTATTCAAAAAACACGTTGGAAATAAAAAGTTGTCTGAGCTCCCCCGTTTGAGAATAAATAAAAGACTGAGACATTTCTGGCTTGCCATATCTAATTTAATGCAGTTTGTGTGAGATCGCCATGGAGATTGAACTGAATATCTATAACTTATAATACCAATATAATCCAGTTCAATTGCTCATTCACCATCCTCTGCTTGGCTGGATGTGTTTTGTTTATTTTTCTATCTGTATTTACTCTGCTTCTTCATTTTTTATTCAAATATTTTTCACTGTGCCTTTTTCATGAACTTTTATCAACGCAATATTAAACTTAATATCATCTTAGACCATTTTTTTTTACATTCTTTCACGATAGAAAGATGCTGATGTTCCAGAAAAAGTGGTCCAGAGAGGTATTGGCTTTCTAGTCTAGACCAGCGATGAGCTGGAAAAATCGTAACAATCGGAACGCACCTAATTCGCAAAAATGTAATATATTCACAACACGACGCGGACGTTTACAGAACTGCAAAGAAATTATATGAAATATGTTTGTGTAAAATTATAAAGAGTATTCATAGCAATTCAATACAAAATTTATTATTAGAATAGTATAGGATGAATTTTCATGGGGTCAAAGGTCGGAGAAACATCTATTACACGTTACTGCTGTACTAATTATTTGCGTGATGTAAAAAGACCTAATATGATGTAATAAAACATAAATTAATAACTGAGTTTAGCAGAAAAACTAGACTTTTTGTACCATAATTTTTTTTCAACAACAAGAACGCAAATGCAGTAAAATGTCCAACAACCGTTCCGGTGCGTTCCGGCTACAGCTCACCACTGTTCCAGACTCATAATTGGCGCTTTCATTATCATGGCAAGGTAGAGAAGTCAGAAATTGGCGTTTTTCGATTGATATTGAGGCTGTATTTTTAAATTTTTTGCAGTTTACATTCGGAATTACAGACTTCTAATACAGGGGGCGTACCCAGAGGAGTCGGACCTGCCCTTTTTGAAATGAAAAACTGACACCTAATGAGCGAGACTTGCCAGTAGGGCTGGGCATTTCGAATCAAATAGTAAATTATTCGAATCGGTTGAGAACAAATTTTCGAATCGCCGCCATCTTGTTTTACTCTTTCCGCCAATGGTCGAGGTAAATTTCTCAATTTTTTATCATTGAAGCCATATTTTTTCAACACAATTCTGACATATGACTCTTTTCTGTATTGAGGTATTGATTTTTATTGTCAGTGATGTATTCTATGTTTTCAGTAATTTATGTCTGGAGGACCTAAAATAATAAGAAAGTTACATACAATTTCATACCCTTCAAGTATTCGAGATTCGATTCGAAAAAATTATTCGATTCGATTCTGAAATCATCAGGTATTCGAAAATGCCCAGCCCTACTTGCCAGGCTGTAATTCTGCCCGATAAGCTCACAAAACTATACCGATGAAGCTGCTTCGACGTTTTTAGTTATGAGATCATTTCCTGTATCATTCATAACATTTTTTTCGTAGCTTGAAACCCGTTTAGACCCTAAAACTCTTGAAAACTCACGTTTTCCGGCTTAACAGCACTCCCCCAGATTCTCTATAGCTGTTACGGTCTAACTTCGCAATTAGAAATTACAGAACCAAGACCTTTTGGAAATTCCTGGCTATGTCACTATTCTAATATTCTGAGTCAAAATTTGTTATTGAAGACGAATCAGCTTTATACGCCAAAGCTTTTTACTGAGAGTCGGAGCAGAAAAATTCAAAGCGTTAAAAAATAGCCGAATGTAATTTTTTTCCGCCTTCCCAACCCCAATCGTGGCCGTTAGCGCCAACCCGGAGCTAAGAAAGGAATCAAATATTTGGAGTCGTAGTTCTTGCTAGTGCACGAAGCTGAAGTTTCATTTACACTCCACCGGAGCATGAGTCAAGAATATGGTGTATCTGGTAGAGCTGGGAATTTCAGGGAAAACATTTTGACCGTTAACCGGGTAAAATTAACCGGTTAACCACCGCGTGACGTTTGACGTAATATTTATAATTTCAGCGTGTTACGTCACAATGGTTATAAAGCAATTTCACGTGTTCTTATCCCGGTTTCGATCAAAATTATTCACGAATCGAGATAGTTTCATGATTCCTCTGCTGCAAAAGATAGGCAGCGTGGTTCGGGCATGTGGAAATATTTTAGAAAACCTGATTCCGTTGTTAAACGTCATTTATGTGACAAATTTTGAGTGTTCTATGTGCAAATTTTACTTCGAGATATATATCATATGTAGAAAAACGCCATCAACTGCGCACTTATTGTATGACATTGAATATCCGATTTTGCAATGAAATCGTGAACAATATATTTCGAAATCGACCGAAAACTGATTCTGAATTCATCATTGTAAATTTTTATTATCAGCAACCTTGGCGCTTCCATTATTTTTTACATTTATTGATTCCTTACTCACACAGTAATATTTTTTTGAATTAAACGCCGCAAAAGATAAATTTGCGATGACGTAATCATATTTAACGAAATTGTACGGTATAAAGATGATTTGTACCTGAGATGTCAGTTAACGGTTAAAATAAATCATAACCGTTAACCAAATGAAATTGGTTAACCGGGTAATCGGCTAACTATTCCCAGCCCCAGTATCTGGAATATTATCCTAAATTGAAACCGTATTCGGAGTTTATAGACCTTTTTAAAAAATATACTTGTTATATTTGATGTTGTTTACTTCTTATCCGGAGTAGTGATCAGAGTCACGATTTTGGTTTATCCGGATTTTTAGTCGAAGTTGGAAACGTTGTTCGGAGCTATAAACCTTTTCAACGACGTAGTAATTGCAGTTGATATTGTTCACTCAGTATCATGAGTTGTGGTCAGAGTCAATATTTTTGGTTTATCCGGATTCTTAGCCCAAGTTGAAGATATCTGTTGTTCGGAGTCTATAGGCCTTTCAACGATATAGTAATTGCAGTTGATATTGTTACTCATTATCTAGAGTAGTGATCGGAGTCCATAGCCTTTTTCAACGACGTAGTAGTTGATTTTGTTCACTCAGTATCATGAGTTGTGGTCAGAGTCAAAATTTTGGTTTATCCGGATTCTAAGTCAAAGTTGAAAAAGTCTTCGGAGTCCATGGGTCTTTTCAAATATACAGGTAGTCTCAGAAGTAAGTATACACTTTTGATCAGCTTTTCAGGTACTCATCACAGAGCTTTCATTTCGAGTGAGCGTCGTATCACGTCATTATAAAATATATTGGACTGGCTCAAAATAAATTTCCCTCCTTCCCCCCCCCTCCCCCCAAAATAAATTTGGCTACGCTATATTTAAAATGCCAATCGCAATATTCTGACATTCCTTTCGGAAGAAAAACGAATATACTGACCAGCCCAGGGTGGTCCAAGGTTGTCGGCTCCGCGGGGCACAAAATTATTTTTGCATTGTTCGCGGGCCACAATAGTGCCTAGAATAGCTAAACAGTGCAATACAAAACAAACACTTTTATTGTGAAAACCCGTAGTTTTCAGGCATAGCCATTCTAGGCTAATAGAATTCGCATTCGATTTTAGTTTTCTATGATGCCTATATTGTTAGCATATATTCCCGACCAATAAGTTAGAAAGCCAGATAACAATTTAGACGGCCACGCACATCATTCAACTCCGCTAGTTTCCCCAGCTAGCCATAACACTATTTAACTCAGTGACATTAGTGATGACAATATGTCAAAAGATTTTTCTGAATAATTTTATGACGAAACAACAAGAAATGCGATTTTTTGATTACTCTCCGAATGTGACGCGAGCCACAGATAATGAAGCGGCGGGCCACATGTGGCCCGCGGGCCTGGGTTTGGACCACCCTGGACTAGCTCTTTCAGCATTTTGATTATACTTCGGGGCTTTAGTTATATATTTTGCTAACCCGAGCGCATTTAGTGTTTGAAATTAAAACGTCCACAGGCCCAGTTGATAAATCTCTCTCTCTCTCTCTCTCTCTTTATATATATATAACAGTGCTGGACTATTCATTAAGAAAAATAAGCACGTGCTTAGGACACCAAGGAAAAAGTGACACCACGGGAATTTCCATTGGCGATTCTCCAATGTTGCCTCAGTGTTTAGTAAACCAATTCGTGGTCAGACGACGCAGACTTCAAAAGTTCAGTCATTCATGTTATACCTCTATCTACATTAATGTTTAATCAAGTTAATCAATGTATATAAAGTATAAGAACTGTTTCCAAAAAAATCAGTTAAATTGATCGTGACTTGGCCATCAATTAGCAATAGGCCTGATTACATGTCCGCTGGAACCGGTCTGGCAGACCACATATTCACGCTTCAGTGGTTCGCCTGCGATTCAATGAATACTGGAAGTTACTTATCCATTTCCGAGAGATAACATGGAACACCAGTTTTATTATTATCATTTTTTATACATATATAGGCCACCAAAGTGGGCCTCTATAGCTGACCCAGTCCTGATATACAAGTATCAGTTAGTGTGTCGGCGATCGCTTACATCTCCAAGATCAATACTACGCTTAGTTAGTAGTGTGGGACTTTGGATTGGTAGCGTTATATCAAATGTGATAATATCTATAATTCCACCGCCTTGTTGCCACATTTTGACACTACTTTGTTGATATGTTTGTCGAGGTCCCATTACATTTGAACCCACGTACATTTGAACCCATGACAATTGCACCTGTATGCTATTGCACCTATGGAATTTTGTTTGTTTCACGGATAGTTAAACCCATACTAACCCTAACCCATGGGTTTTAGCACCCGCATATAGATTGAACCCGTGGATATACGCATGGGTTCAAATGTACGGTCACCGCTTGTCAAGTATCAAATTTGTATGGCTCCGTAAAGAATAGTCAGACTCTTCACGGGCTCCAGTACGTCAAAAGTTTGTGAAATTCTAAGTTAGTGTGTCACCGATCGCTTGCATCGCTACGATCAATACCTTCTTCCCGTTCTTCAGTTAGTAAGTCGGGACCTTGGATTTAGAAAAATTGCATACATTTGATTATTTTTCATTCATTTTTCTGCTAAAATTTTTCCGGTTTGGGCCAATATCAATGACAGGTTGCAGCTGTCTTTTCGGCTCTCCAGAAGTATGTGTACCAATGGAGGTAACTAATTTTGTTCACCTACTTTACATCAAGTTGTGATAAGGGACTGAAAGATATGAACAGGGGGTATATTCACTTGGCTAACAGAGACAGTCCCCGAACTCGTAGTAGAACTGAGATAAGAAAAATCGGAATAAAATTATGGCCTAACCTTAACCTGGTACATACACTACGGGGG